GTTTTAGAAAACATTTTTATCACTCTGTCCAGATTATGGAAAAATGTGAGCATTCTAGCCCCTCGAGAGATCACCTCGTGGGCTGAACAAGACAACCTACTTATTTTTATTGTAGTTTCATGCTTATCAAGTTCCTCTGGATAAAGAATTCAGCTTTTTACGTACTCAAAATTGAGAAAAGCGAATGCCCTCATCAGGAATGAGGCCTTCTATTGTTGGAAAGGGGTATCTCCACCATAAATTAATAAACTAGTGTTCTCTGTAGATATTTTAATCCCTATGATTTTCAAATTTCTAGTCTGTCCTTCACAGAACAGCCATCTCTAATTATACTGAAAACATTCCATTTTTGGACTTGTGAGGCTGCAGGTCAGACTCTGGATTGCGGTGGACCCGCCACTGAGCGCGGCTCCTTGGCCTCGCCATCAGCAGGCTTCCCTTAATAGTGACCCTGTCATTACGCAGTAGTTCACACTATTCACAATTTCACACAATGGGAATGTACTTGATTCTAGTGAACTGCACATTTAAAATGGTTAAAGTGCTAAATTTTGCTATATATATTTTACCACAATTTACAAAACTTCAACAAGTACATTTTCAATTATCGCATTTATTCGTATCTTACACGTTTGGTGAGTGCTCGCTGATGCTAGCGACTATACCAGGTACTGGGGACAGAAATATTAAGAAGACATGAAGTCGGTTTTCAAGGCTTACAGTCAAGTAAGAGGAGAGAGACATAAAACCACTAAATACAAAGGCACTGGAACGGGAGTCGGCACAGGATGCAGTGGGGAAACTGAAGGAGGAAAGGTCAACTTTACCAGAAGATTCACAGAGGTGGCCCTTAGGCCAAGTCATAACTAGTCACCTTAGTTTCATTTTCCCAATTCCACCACTCTATTCCTCTTCCACTTCTAAGATAAATGAGAATAATCTTATAAACAAAACATTGAATGAAAGCAGCAAGACAAAAAATTAATACAAACTATATGATTCTATGAAGTTCAAAACAGGCAAAATTATAGTATTAGAAATTAGGAGAGTGATTACCTTTGGGGAGGAGGGGGGAAATTAATAAGCTCAATAAATATATTAGGAATTTCCTTAAGGTGGTATTTTATTTCTTTAGAGAGCTACATGATAGGCAGGCACTTAAGATCTTCCTGAGTCCCTAAATTCATGAATATCTCTATAGCCTGTAACTTCCCCATAAAATGTATTAAATTATATTTTCATGAGAATAAAAGTGTAAGAGATGAGTAAAGAATGGAGCTTTGCTGATCCATTGGCTTATGACTAGCTTAGCCATTCACAAAAATCAGAAAACTCCATATTCATATGTCTTCAGGGTCATTACAGCAGTTAAATTTCAAAGATGTGAATCTTACAGTGAAATCAACTTTAAAAAAAGTATTTCTTGCTTAAAAAAAATGCTCAAGTTTTTTTTTTTAAACTTTTTTCTTAATGCTTTTTTTTTTTGGTGAGGAAAACTGGCCCTGAGCTAACATCTGTTGCCAATCTTCCTCTTTTTTTTTTTTTTTCTCTCCACAAAGCCCCAGTACATAGTTGTATATCCTAGTTGTAAGACCTTCCGGTTCTTCTGTGTAGGATGCTGCCACAGGGCACAGCATGGCTTGATGAGTGGTATGTAGGTCCATGCCCAGCATCCGAATTGGAGAACCCCGGGCCACTGAAGTGGAGCATGCAAACTTAACCACTATGCCACCAGGCTGGCCCTACCCTCAAGTTTTATAAGGGCAAAAAGTTTATATGATCACTTTCCCCTTATGTTACACTGTTAATGGCACCAAAAAGACTTTTCACTTATGAAATTCTAACTTGAAGATACTGTGGAGGGAAAATTGCATAGAAATACACCAAAATTTTAATAGTGACCTATCTCTAATTGGATGGAATTGTGGGCGATTTTTGTTCTTCTTTTGTTTTTCTGAATTTTCTAAATTCTCTAGAATGAATAGTTTTATTTTCAGCAGTTTTCAGTTATAATTTACATATCATAAAATTCACCTGTTTTAAGTGTATAATTTAATGATTTTTAGTAAATTTACAGAGTTGTATAACCATCACCACAATCCAGTTTTAAAACATTTTCATCATCCCCAAAAGATCTCTCATGCCCATTTGCATTCTTTCCCCATTCTTACCTCTAAAGCCTAAGGTAACCACTAACCTACGTGGTCTCTTTTAAAGTCATGTCCTTTCTGGATAGTTCATATAAATGGAATCATGCAGTATGTAGTCTTTTGTGTCTGGCTTCTTTAACATATTTTTGAGGTTTATCCATGATGTAGCATGTATGAGCATTTTGTTCCTTTTTACGAATAATACTCCCTTGTATGGGTATAGCACATTTTGGCTACTATGAATAAAACTATTATATACATTCACATACAAGTTCTTTGTGTAGACATGTTTTAATTTCTTTTCGATAGATACTTAGGAGCGGAATTTCTGGGTTGTATGGTAAATTTTTGTTTGGCTTTTTAAGAAACTGCCAAACTGTTTTCCAAAGTGGCTGTACCATGTTACATTCCACCTCTCAGCAATGTCTGAGTGTTCTAGTCTCTTCACATCTTCCACAACACTTGTCATTGTCTGTCTTTTTTAATAAAGACACTCTAGGGTGTCATAGGGTAACCAACTGGTCCCAGTTTGTCTGGGACTCTTCAGGTGTTAGCACTGAAAGTCCTGTGTCCCAGGAAACCCCTCAATCCCAGACAATCAGTAATAGTTGGTCATCCTAAGTGGGTGTGAAGAACTGTCTCATAGTGGTTTTAATTTGCATTTCCCTAATGACTAATAATGCTGATGAACAGGTATTTTATAATAGAAAAAAAAATAAACTAAAACACATTACTATAGTAAACAGATTGTGGTCTGTTGTATTATAAGAACACAAATCCTTCAATACATCTATGTATACTTCTTCCTTTCCTGGCACAAAAAACTCTATAAAAACCAGAGGAGCAAAATGCAGTTGATGTTGCAGAGATTAAGAATTTTCCACATTCAACTCAAAACTTAAGAGAAGTCATAAAGACTCTTGCCCTTTGGTATGCCTTGTGAGACACTATAAAAGCCTACAGACAGCATGAGGTGAGGGCATAAAGCAAAGGGATATGCTTCAGAAGCACGTAAGTCCTTCCAAATGGAGCAGAAACCCGAGGGGAGAAATGTTTAACAGCGCAGTCTAAATCCTAAGGATCTTGCCACAATCACTCCCATTTCCAGGTCTCCAATACTCTCTCCTTCATCTGCCTACCCAGATGCTACCCACCCCACCATCTTCCAAGAATGTTTTCCTAGTTCCTTCAGTTCTCAGTGATCTCTCCTTTTTCTCCTATTGCATGTGGAAGCAGCATCTTACAATATCACTTTTTTCATTTTTGTTTCCCTTCTACCCTCCCAATGAGGCTGTACGCTTATGTAGCTTCTATGTCTTTTGAAAGCCTCACAGCACCTAGCTGCAAAGTGTATTACAGGCAAAAATTTACATGATTAGAGTCATTTCAAGATTTATTAACTCTATTATATCATAAAATGCCATGCTTATAAATTCGTGAAGCAAAATTATTCCAGTTTAACTTGCTAGCATGACTAGTTTCGCTGGTAACTCCAAATAATGGGTACAGATTTGGGTAGACTAAGAAGCAGTGTACCATCATTATCCGCAAGCCAGGCACTTGGAGCCTGTTGCTTTCCACCTCTCTGTTACCTGCCTGTTTTCTTAGGGCTTCAGAGAGCCTCTGTTCCTCATACTCGAATGAGGGCAGAAAAGGCAGGCTGTGAACTGAACAAAAGATCTGACAGAATTTTGAAATGATACTTCAAAATTGTAGGAGTTTACTCCAAACTGTAGAAAACTCCAAGAAAGAACATTTCTGAAGTATACTGCCCACAATGACAATATTTGACTGCCAGGTGAAACATATTCCAGAAATAAAATGTTTTATCTTATAAACACGACATATGGCTTCACATTTGCATGAGAGGCCCAGAGAAACAGGAAAGAGCATGAACTTTAGGACTAGTCAGACTTGATCTGAATCTTAGTTCAAATACCTACTAACTGTGGGATCTTGGTTAAGTTATCTAACCTTTTTAGGCTTATTTCCCCAACCATAAAATGAGAATCCCACTACTACCTCCTGAGGTTATTGTGAGAGTGTGGCAAAAATCCCCTCGTACTGGGCACAAAGTAGGCAGTCACAAGGTGAGTGCTTTTGTTCTTTTCTCCCTGAGCTAATTCTTGGAGGATGCTCTCAAAAGGATGCAGGATATTTCTGAATTCAGAAACGTTCAGTTTTTGAAAGTTTTTATTCTTAACATCAACTTTGAACATTTGACTTAAAAAAAATAAGCATTCCTCCAAAGCGACTTTGTTTTTAATCAAGTTAATTAGCTTCATACTATTTTTGCTTACAGGCTTTGAAAACTGGTATAAGGATTCAAATTTCCAATAGATAGTGACTTCTTGACATTATTAATATCACCTGTTGTTAAGAATATATGTGGCAACTAAATATACATATCATTACAGACCAGATTTTATAAGGAAAAACTCATGTGCAAAAGGACTAAAGGCCCTGTGCATGTGTATGATAAATGTCTTGGCCATGTTCACAGGGCCACTGACCTTCTTAACTAAATACCTTATAGCTGATATGTACCTAACAAGAATAATGAGAACTCTGAAAATATGATATTTGTGTTTCATTTTATCCTTAAAATTGCTCTCCTCATTTATTTCACAAGAAGGTCTTTACCATGAGAATGTAAAGATGCTTTCCATCTTGAAAAAGTCACTAATGGAATAAAGGAATGTGTGTGTGTATGCACGTGTACAAAGAACCTGTAAGACAAATTTTAAAGATAGACTTTTAAAAAATATATTATGATGAGGTTCAATAAACAATATATTTGATTATTAATCTCTTCACGTTACTAAATGCAGAAATTTCCTTTTCACTTACTTCCACTGCTGCTACAACCTGGGATATTTTCTCCAGGAGAATACCCCATGAGGCCTCCATTCCCGTTAGGATTAGAAGGCACTGATGCAAGAAGACCTAAAGGGAAAAAATTTCCTATTAAATTATGATCAAGATCAAATTCAAGGATAGGTACATAAACAGCTGCCAAAGAAACAAATCAAAGGCAGTTACTGACATACCTAATCCTCTATATCGTGAAAGCTGCTGGTAGATCTGTTTCATCCTCTCGATATTCAAACGGCTTGCCTCAGCATGGTTCACCATTGGTTTAGGATAGTTAACTCCTATCAAACATTTGGCTACCTTTTGGATACCTTCTGGTGCATTCCAGGGATCATAGATATATTTTGCAGGAAAGCCTCTTAGGACAGGCAAATAACGCCTTTTTAGGAGAAGGAATAAAAATTATTAATAAAATGAACTATAAGCAAATTATAACAAATTATTTATTAGCTATGAATGACCAAAATCAAATCAATAGCATTTAAATGATTTCTTTACCCTTCTCCTCATCTGTGCTGCCCATCGTGAGTGGGGAATACTTTAAGCGTTGCTTAAACATGAAAAGCTCTTCCTGGATTAGCTATTCCAAACTGAATAATAATCAGCCTTGATTTACCTGATATAGTCTCCATTGGGATCTGTTCTCCTACCAAAACCAACAGGGCAATAGCAGTGAAAAAACTGTTGGAAAAAGGAACTACAAGACAGCCACATCCAACTTCCAGCATTTATGCTCCAATCTGCATCAAGCAATAATTCTTCAAATACCTTCAGAAGTAACAGCAACCAATTAGTTTGCACACATACAATTCTCAAAGCAAGCATTTTCCAGGTCTCTGTAGATCCAAAGTCAAGGCAAAGAAAATCTAGCACAGAACTGTAAAATTAAATATTCCAAAGTGAGCTTTCTTGCTCACGTTTTGTTCTGCAATGAGTTATTGCAGGGAAAGAAACCTATCAGCAATATAAGTGGATTTCTGAAGGGAATTTACCTTTCTAATCTTTGCAGTGTTATCGGCGGGGTGGGTAAAAAAATTACTCAGGTCACTGATTTAAAAAAATCAGATGGGATAGGAGGAGATTAAAAAAATGGAAGAAAAAAACAGTAAACACTTGCAACAAAGCAAAAATGCTACCAAAACATAAATCACCAACAAAAACTTAGAAGCTTGGTACACTGGCCTACATAGCGGGAGCACCCAAATACAAATGACCTTTAAAAATGCACTAGCAGTATAGAGTTTAAGTTTTGAATTCCTTGATCCACAAGGGAAATAGAATTTTAAAAAAATATTTATTTTTATTTATTTATTTTTTGCTGAGGAAGATTCACCCTGAGATAACATCACTACCAATCTTTCTCTCTTTTTATTTTTTGTATGTGAACCACCACCACAGCACAGCCACTGACAGATGAGTGGTGTAGGTCCATACCTGGGTACCAAACCTGGGCTGCCAAAGTGGAACACACTGAACTTAACCACTAGGCCACCAGGGCTGGCCCTAAAATAAATTATTTTTTCATAAATTCATTAAGTGTGTGCTATACATCTACTTCACGTATAAGCCTGTACTAGAAAATAAAGGAGATCCAAAAAAACACAGGATCAGAAATGGTCCTTGCATAGGAGAAATTATGATCTAGACAGAAAGATAAAACACATATGTGTAAAGTTCTGTTATATATAACCATAAGATGATGTCACAAGATGTAGCATGCTTCACTTTACAAAACAGTATTCCTCAAAAGCTGCAATGTTCAAGCGAGGGGAAATAATTTATATTTTAAATTGTATAATACAAATTCACTATTTCTAAGAACTCTTGGGTGAATCTTTTTTGGAACAGAAATGATCACTATAAATATACTGATCCAATAAGTCCAGAGTATTAAATCTTACAGTTCTCTTGATGGTTAGGCTGGTTTAGCCACCGAAATGACTTTAGGTTAATCGAACCAGTTTCCATCATTTCTCCTGTCTGATATACCATTCTGCTCTCCAAAAGTGTGCCTGTACCATGGGAATTAAATGCTTTACCAGCTGAAAAACTAGACTATAAATGAATCTACACAATAGACAACTTCTAGAAATTGTTTTAATAGGTATAGAGTCTTTCAGAATAGGACTATGCTCCATGAGTTAGAAGAATACTTACCTTCATTCCTTCCTCCCAACTAATCCACAGGTCACCCCGTGTCAGGAAGCAAGCAACTGCATGTCTGGCTAGATGGTGAATCCAGCCCTCCTGCCGAAGCTGTGTCATGATGGCGTCAATCCACGGAAAGCCTGTCCGGCCTTCCGCCCATTTCGCTAATGCCTCAGGATTCTTATCCCAAGGAATCTGAACGCAGATGGGGTTTCCTTCCATTTTATCAAAGCGTGGATTGTTTGTTGCTGCCGTGTAGAAAAATTCACGCCATAACAGTTGCCCATAAAGGGAAAGGGGAGGGGAACTGTTCTTCTTTACCTAAGATTAAAAAGCAAAGAGGTATTCTCAGCAATTTGTACAAAAGTATTCTGCAAAATAAGCTCCAGTTTCAGACGATACCTTTCTGTACAGGTCTGTCAGTCTGAAGTAGAAGAGTCGACACGACAGACACCCAAACCGGAGATAAGGACTGAGTCCGGCAGGGCTGGCAAGCAGGGAATTCGCATTCATGCGAGGCCTTTCGAAGTTTGCCACCCAAGCCTGAAAACACACAAAGAGAATTCCTCTAACTGCCTTTTCCATTTTAAAAGTGTTTAAAACAGATTTTTTAAAAAAGTCACATAGTTCTTGGGGAATAAAATCTTATTATCCCAACCACAAATGACATGTTCTAATAAAAAATAAGAAAGGGTAAAAGTGAGTATTCTTTTGTTTCAGCCATCCTCCTGCAGCACATACTCATGCGAAAGAAATTACCTTCAAACTCCTAACACAAGGCTGAGAGCACCTTCAACCTGTCTCTCTGACATTGAGGTCAAGGTGAAACAGAAGAACTCTATCCTGGTTTCAAAGTTATGGTCATCAGATACCAGCTCAGACAGAAAGCATAGAAGAAGTAGTATTGGTAGTAACTAAACGGGAAACAATCAGAAGAGGAGGGGAAACGGTATTTAAATGAAGAGAGAGTTGTTAATTTTCAAATAATTAGGTTTTTTTGTGCTATTTTAACTATTTCTCTCAATCCTTTATTTCAACTGTCTATTTTTTGTTTTTAACAAAGAGTGAAATCATTTTTCAAATGCCAGTTTGGAAATATGAGCATGATCTCCACTGTCATACTTTTCTTTCCAAATGCCTTTCCAAACGTGTAAGTGCTTCAGTCTCTCCACCCGGCCACACTGCAGAGGGTAAGCCATCTGTATCAAAACCTAAAAAAGAGAGAAAAGACAAATATCACTCTTCTGGAACTAAAATAATTTCTATTTAACCACAATAATTGGGAGAAAAAAATTACTTTTCAGAAAAATTGACAGTAGCACAGAAATGAATTGAGGGCCCTGGGTGGGCCCTCACATAGAGAGGATGTGGTCTCTGTTGTTTAGGATGTACACCTCAAGGTGGTAACAGATAGATCACATATTTATAGAACATATAAACACAAAGATATTTCACTTCTTAGTTTGAGTTTCTTTTCTTTTTTCTTCTTTCTTTCTTTCCCTCTTAACACAAAAGACCTTACATGTCAAAATAGAAGATTTTCTGAATGATTTATTAATGCGTCAGCTCCACAGTTATTACCATTTACACCCACCTAGTTCTTCCAGTGAAGGGACTCCATATTTCTCATCATGGTCATCAGACAGAGGAGTTGTACACTTCTCTATCACTTCAGACGTAATTGTCTCTACTGGTATCTCCAGTGGTTCCATTTTGCTGATGAGAGTCTGGAATCTTTTATAAGTAAGAGGTGGCTGTCCACCATTGAGTTCTATGATCCTATTACAAAAGTTAGTAAAGTGCAGTTAGCATAAAAAAATGACACTATATTTTGATTGATAAGCTCTGAAAAGGCTTAAAATCAGAAAACAAAATTAATCATTTAAGACTTGTAGAAGAATGTTAGCTTCTTATATGACCGGGAAACTTAAAATGGTTAATGAATCTAAAAATTATTCTCTTAATTTTCTAGATATCTGCTAGATGTCAAAAAATACAGTATGCAAATACCAAAACCTTTAAGACAAAGGGTACAAAGTACCTGTGAGGGAAAAAAACAAGTGGCTAAATTAGCCTAAAGGCAATAATAAAAAAATAATATACATGGAAATGTAAAAACATGTTACAACTCAGCTCAAAGAATCTCTTAATCATCAATAAAAAGTAAACCAGGCCAATATTACATCAAGGAGTAATCAGCAAGTCTCATTAGTTAGGATTCTATATTACTACAGTGATAAATCACTCGTTATTTTCGACTGTGCTCATGACTTTGTTAAAAATGTCATCATATATATTTTATATTTACTTCTGATCACTAATTGCCTCAATCAAGTCATACCAAAAAGAAAAAAAAGATCAGGCTTGCCAATGGTATTTTGAATTAGGCACTATTTGAGAATAACCAATTATTCTTTTTGATTAAGGCTATTCGCTTAGCATTTAGCCTTAATAAAGAATTACTGGCAAAATCCAACTCCATCATTTTATAGACCAAAAACTGAAGCCTACCAAGAGAGTTAAGTTAACTAGTCAAGGTCACGTAACACTGATGAATAGCAAATCAAGGTTTCCTTAATCCAAATACAGTACATTTTTCATTATACCACATATAATTATGTATCAACTGTATGTGCAGAAAGTAAACACCATGAAAGCTATCCTCTCTGCTTTTAGTAATTTTGCTTTGGTATAATACGTGGAGTTTACACATAGCATCATAATGAAATTTGTCAATTGTAACCATACTGCAATGATACTACTGAGGACACTGCTAATTACATGACAGAGGCAAAATAAAAAGCTTAGAAGAAATGTTTTCTATATGTTACATTTTTTATGATAAATATATGGTAAATATTCACATTTTACCCAATAAATAAACCAATTTTATGCGTAACAGAGTCTCCCACTTAGAAGCAACTGGTCTTATCTTGTTTTGCCTCGTCCTTGCTATCAGCTCCCCGAAGTTAAGAAAACCGGTAAACCAGAAGGAAAGTTTATCATCAAAGGATATATGACTTCTGGCTTAATACCCTTGCCTGAATCAAACTATGATTTTTTGACACACTTGGAAAAGTGGAATAAAATTAATGTTTGTCATGTTATTTACAGAATTAGCTTTATTAACTGGATAAAATCTGTAAAGAACTAAAAAGATAAAATAATTTAAAAGGTACATAAATTATAAGATTTCAGCACTTGTAAGGACAACCACACGCCAAAAGTGAATAAATTAATGAATCTTATGAACCTTTAAGACTCACATAATACTTACTAAAATTAAGTTTGACCACAGGATCTTTGCTAGACAAAGCATCACCAAGGACTGATATTTCAAGAAATACACTTTGAGAAATAAAATATTACGCTATTGTTCAGAGGACTACAGCTATGCAAAGTAATATTATATACAATTTGCATCTGGACTTAAAATCCAGATAGACAAGATATACACACATGAAATAAAATAACTTAAGACAATCATATAAAATGTATCAAAGAGGTTTATGGCTATGTATCATATAAACTACAAATTAATATTGCTAAGAGCCCAGAAAGGCAAGACTACAGTAGGCTGACTTGGAATAATCAAGGGAAATTCTGTGATACTCTTAATAGTTCTGAAACTGAAATTCTGAGTATTTTTATCTTTTGCACTATGTAATTTTGGTATCTGTCACTGAGTAAATAAAAATCACAACAGTTAAATAAAATGCTAAGGGTATGATATATATTCATTTAATTCTCTATACATAATCTATGATGTATATATTGCTATTTCCATTTTACAAACTTAACTCCCACAGGCTAAAACCTACTTGTCTATGTACTTAACACCACTGAAATGTACACTTAAAAATGGTTAAGATGATGAATATCATGTTGTGTGTATTTTAGCATAATAAAAAACAGAAGGAAAAAACTTACTTGTCTAGGTCATATAATGTATGTGAAATTCGTACAATGACTTCTACTCCAGCTTCAGTAGCCAGTTTCTTAATAGCCGCATCTCGTTCCTTTCCAAAGGGCTCAGAATCATACTCAATTGAAAGTTTAGTAATGTTCCATTCCTAAAATAAGAGAAATGGGGGAAAATGTACACAAATTTTAATAATTACTTTTTTCTATTATAACACCACAGTCTGGAAAAAAGTGAAAAGCTTGAAATCTACATATCAAATGATTATACATAAATCAAACCTTGAATATGCAGGAAGAACATGCACAATTTATAACTTCAAAAATATGTAAATAAGAAATGTATACTCACTACATTTCAGGCATTGTGCTAGGCATTAGACAATCTACCAATACGCTTAAAACCAGTGTCCTGTACTAAACGTGTCTGCATAGCACTTCACTTTTTCAAGTAAGTTACACTTACATTATCTCATTTGCTTCTCAAAACAACCCGCAGAGTTTGGCACTTTTGTTGGTATCTCGATTTTTCAGATTAGGTTATTTAAAAAATTTAGAGACTTGCCCAAATTCACAAAGCGCTAGAATACCTAAACTTACGTCTGCTGATTCCAAGAGTCGGTCTTTTACAAACCTTTGATGGCTAATACGGTATAAGCTGCTTTGCTGAGGTACTCTGTTTTATGCTTTATTTGTGATTACCAAAAGATGTTAACTATAGAAAATATGAAGATAGTAATAATAATAGCAGCTGTCTATTGAGTGTCAGGTGCGATATGAATAAGCTCTGCACGTCTCCTTATAGTGATTTTCAACGAGGAGACTGTGACTTAAGGGAATTAAGCGATTTCCTAGGCGGGCAGTAAAGTTGTTTCAAATTCTAAAATCGACAGGCGATTTATCTATCTGTAATTCTACCATTATTTAACTGACTATACGGTAACACACTGTCATTCTCCAAACTCCTACAGGTCAGACAAGGGCTGTTCCCAATGATGGTTTGTTTTTTTTTTTTTAAATTGCTATTATAAACCTTGCAGTGCACATCGTTATCTTTATGCATACATCTTAAACCTTTTGGGGCAATTGTCCTATTTTTTCCTAGAAATAATTCCTTGGAAAACAATTAATGGATAACATAAGCAGATTTAAAATTTTGACAGACCCTGTCAAATTTTCCACCAAATATACTGTTTTAAAAACCACTAATATGAGGGTCTGGCTGGCGGCATAGTGGTTAAGTTCGCACACTCCACTTTGGTGGCATGGGGTTCACCAGTTCGGATCCTGGGCACAGACCTACACACCACTCATCAAGCCATGCTGTGGTGGCATCCCACATAGAAGAACTAGAAGGACTTACAAGTAGGATACACAACTATGCACTGGGGCCTTGGGGAGAAAAAAAAAAAGAGGAAGATTGGCAGTAGGTGTTAGCTCAGGGCCAATCTTCCTCACCAAAAGAAAAAAAAATTAAAAAGAAAAAAATAAATGAAAATAAAAACCACTAATACACACAATATACACAGAAAAATAGTATCTCATTTTAAAATTTTTCCTTCTTGAAAGCCCTGAAGAATGCATACAAAACTGTCAATAGCTGTTACCTTTCAAGAGCAGAAGAGGAGTGTAAATAAGATTTTTTATTTTACACACTGTTGCATTGTTCAGAATTCTTAGTACTATCATGTACTGCTTTTGAAACTTAAAATGAAAATGAAAATAGGAAAGCATTATATTTCTTTGTTTTATAGTGAGGCAGTATAGAGTAGTAGTTATTAAAAAACACAGCATCTGAAGTTAGATATCTTAAGTGTAAAGACTGGCCTCAACCATTTGTGCAAATTGCCAAACTCACCATCCATGTTTTCTAACCTATAAAATGGGTAAAATGTAAGTAAAGTGCTTAGAGTACCTAGCACCTAATAAACACTAGGTAAGTGTTTGCTACAGTAAAATGAAAAAAATAATATTATGTTACTGGGTTGCTGAAAGATTGTTTAGGACATAGTGCACAGTAAGCTCTCAATGAATCTCAGCTATTACTACTAGCCATTTGTATATTTCTTTTTTGTGAGTTGCACCTTATGTTTGCTTGGTTTTCTATTACAGTTAATTTTTCTCTTAGGGTTTTGTAAGAGTTCCTTATATTTTAATGATAGCAACCCTTTCTCTGTCATATATGTTACAATTTTTTTTCTAAATAGTTTATAATTTAGTTTTATGATTTTTTTGACAAATAATTTTTCAGTTTTTAGAAAGTAAATGTTAGAGTTTGACGCAAGTCAATAACACTTCCTCCCCTTTTCTCTTTTTGAAAAGGAAGGGAAGATAAGTCATGGAGCTAAAAATCAAAATACAGACCACATTATTAATGAAGTTGAATTGGAGAAAATATATTAGATTTAAGGGCAGGTAAGCCTTGAATTAAGCAATTTCACTATTAAGTATCATGTTAGCTATGCTTTTTTATAGACAACCTTTATCAAACTGATATTTAGCAACTTCCTATGCCTAGTTTGCTTAAAGTTTTTTTTTAAATCATAAATGGGTGTTGAATTCCTTCAAATGCTTTTTCTTCATCTATTGAGATAATTATAATATCTTTTCCTTTATTCTATTTATGTTAATTGGTTTTTATAATGTTGAATCAACTTTTTATTCCTGGGACAAACCCCACTGATTATGATGTAGTATTATTTTAAAATATTGCTAACTTCAATTTGTTATTATATTGTTAAGGATATCTGAGTCTATGTTTATGGGGGATACTGACTATATTTTTTTTTCCTTAAAATTTCATCATCAGGTTTTGGTGTCAGAGTTATGCTGGCCTCATAAAACAAGTTGGGAAGTATTCCCAACATTCTCCTTTGCTTTCTGAAAGAGTGTTATAAGACTGTTATTATTTCTTTCTTAAATATGTGATAGAATTCACAAGTATAGACATTTTAGGCCTGAAGTTTTATTTATGGGAAGGTTTTTGATTACAAATTCCATTTCTCTAAGAGACATAGGGTGATTCAGGTTTTTTTTCTTCTGAGAATTTTAGTAATTTGTACTTTTCAAGAAATTTTTTCATTTCATCTTAGTCGTAGAATTTATTGGCATTATATTTACAATATCCCTTATTATGCTTTTAAAATTTAGAGAATCTCTAGTGATGTCCTCTTTTTTACTCCTGATAAAGGTAATTTGTGTTTTCTCCCTTTTTTGCCCTGATCAGTATTGCTAGCAGTTTATCAATTTTATTAATCTTTTCAAAGAACTAGCTTTTGGCTTTGTTGACTGAATCAATCAGGGTTCAGTCAGAAGACAGAAACCACATCAGCAACTTTAACAAGGAAAATTTAACATAAAGAATTGTTATCAAGTAAAAGGTGGTCAACAATAACAAGGAGTCACAGAGGAGTTAAACTACACTGCTCAATGTGGTAGATAGCCATTAGCCACAGAAATAGCTTCTGAGCAGGTGAAATGTGGTGAGCTGGAATGGAGATGTGCTGTTAAATATAAAATATACACTGAATTGCAAAGACTTTACATGAAAAAAAGGTTAAAATATCTTACTTTTATAATGATTTTATATTGAAAGGACAATATTTTAGATATACTGGGTTAAATAAAATATATTACTAAAATTAACTTCACCTGTTTCTTTTTACTTTTTTAAAATGTGGCTATTAGAAAATTTTAAATTACATCCATGGCTTCTGTTAGACAGTACTGCTCTAAAGAGTCCAAAAGTAGCAATTGCAGAAAGAAGCTATCACCTCTAAATAGAGGGAAAACAAGTAAGAAACAAATTCAGAACTTAAAAGAGTTCCCTTCCTTCTTCCTGCTGAGAGACGCACCTCATTGTATGGGGTATGGGACCACAGGAACACGTAACCCTCCCTGCAGGGAAGACACTTCCCAGAGAGCAAGGGCAGACCTGGTTCATAAGAACAGCCCACTGGGTGGCTGAGAAACTGCCTGCAGGGTGTGGGCTAACTGGAGCTGATCTGTACAAGTAGTCCACTGGGCGGCAGAGAAATTTACCAGAGGGCCTGGGTGAGTTGTAGCTGGTCTGGGGAAGTGGCCTATCAGGTGGCAGGGAAACTTGTCAGAGGATACGTGTAGGCTGGGGCTGGTCCAGGAGGGCTCCTGAGGTGAGTTCTATTGGGCCTTCCACCTGCTCATCTGCTGGCTGATGTGCCAGACAAAAAGCACAAGGATATCAAGAAGGAAAGTCCCTTCTCTCTTGCTATATGACCTTGCAGAGAACCACCAGCAGTGTCTACTGACAAAGCCTAATAGCAAGCCAGCTGACAAAGGAGAAATGTTGACAGTGTCCAGCTTCAGTATCATAAGGCAGGGGAAAGAAGGGTGGATTTGGAAGTGAGACGAGAAATTGATTATTGCACATTTATTTTCTCTATTGTTTACTTGCTTTCTGTTTCATTGATTTCTATTCGTCTCTTTATTATTTCCCTTTTACCTACTACTGGTTTAATTTTTTTCTTCTTTTTCTATTTTTCAAGGTGAAGCCTAGTTCTTTGATTTCTTCTTTTCTAATAGACTATCGAAAGCTATTAATTTTCCTCTAAGCACTGCTGTGGCTGAATCCCATAAATTTGATATATTGGGTTTCTACTATCATTTGGTTATAAATATTTGCTATTCTTTTGGTATTCATTTTTTATTTAATTCCGTTGAACTCAGAGAATATATTCTGTAAGATTTCAGTCCTAAATCTATTGATACCTGTTTTGTGGCTGAGCATATGGTCTATCTTTGTGAATGTTTCATATGCACTAGAAAAGAACATGTCTTCTGTAGTTCTTGGGTGTAGTGTTCCACAGATATGTTACATCAAATTGCTTGACAGTGTTATTCACCTCATCTGTATCTTTACTAATTTTTGTATATCCTAACAATAACTGAGAAGTGTAAAAATCACCAACTATGACTGTGACTTTATCTATGTCTCCCTTTAGTTTTATCAGTTTGAGATTCATGTATTTTTATGCTGTTAGTAGGTACATATACATTTACGATGCTTATATCCTCTTGATGTGAGACTTTACTCTTTATCTCTGGTAATTTTGTCTTGAATTCTATTTTCTTATGCTTACTGTTTGCAAAGTACATTTTTTCAGTTTTTTTAACT